AAGAACCTGTAAGTTTCAGATCGTTTTACAGTCGTTTGCATTGGTTGGGCATCTTTTCTCAATGAAGCTGTCAATACTCTGGCTTCATGATTGAAAGGTGAAAGATCATCTAACTCTTTTGAAGCAAAAAACTGGTCTACTTAGTGTAATTTATACGATCACTTGGAACTTGAAGTGGTCTTATGTCCCGTTGACTTGCTCGGTGTACTGCCCTTAATTGGTTGTTAGCTCTAATGCATGGTATTGACCACACTTATTCGACCCCCGTTGTCCATACACTGACTGTAATCTGGATGTTAAAAATGCCTGGTTTAACGGAACGAATGAAGCAAAATATATTTTTTAATTATTTCTAATGTTTAACAGAAATTTGTTGGTACCTGTATTCGGGATCACAAAGAGGTTTTAGGTTTTGTTCCAACGAATATCTAAACAAGCACTTTCTCGTGAACGCTCCCTCTCGTTGACCTACCAACATTACTCTTGTTCACAGAATCCTCATGTGTGTTTGGGGACATCTTCGTTTCTTTCTGCATTTTCACTGAGCTCGTTGAACTGGTTTGTTCAATTCACGGCCAACTGTCAGTCATCTTAATATTCCGACTAGTGTGTGGATTTTTATTCACCGTTAAGGAAATTCTTGTCTAAATGGGCGTGGCACAACCTCTTGACGCAAATTCCTTCACTCTCTCCTACCATGCAACGTCTATTCAATTACCCATTGCTTTGTGCTGTCGGGAGAAAATAGTCATATTTCTTAATCGTGTGTGCGCGTTCAAACCAGGCTGTGCCTGTCTGTGATTGCCGCAACGGATAGTGCTTTCGTTCTAGGTTATGCGGTCAACACGTCCCACCATCATCTGACTAACTAGGCAACAATGTTTTTCAATGAAGGATTCTGCTCCCGACTGAGTGAGTCATGCACCCAAGCACACTATTCGGACAACGTAGCCGTAGTTGATTCCATACAACTCGATGACTCCTCCTCTAGCATTTGTACTTTTACATCCTCGATCGTTGGGACCATTTTGTTGTCCCCTCATTAAAGTTGGCTCTTGTCTTGTGTCGCTTCTGTTTGTTGTCGGTTCATCGTGTTCGGTTCGCGTCACTTGGGTGGAAGCTGACTCGCCCCCCCCCNCCCCCCCCCCCCGCTTTCCCCGTTGAGACTGTTCATGCTAGTCGTAATTAACACTTCTGCTTATCATTGTTGTTGTTTTTGTTGTTACTGTAATACAACAGTTGATTTTTGTCGTTCCTCAGGCTGAAACTGAGCAACCGGTTTTGGATACGAATAACACCAATGCTGAATATGAACCATGTTACCAACCAGAGGGAGAAACCGAGACCGCTCTGATGGGAAAACCGACGGAACACGAAGTTCCCGTGGACAGCACCGATGCAAACCATGTCAACGGACATGGTGACTTCGAGCATCACGAGGACGATGCGGTGGCTTCCAAATTGGCCAACCTAGAACTGACCAACGGACATTCGGAGCACCACCCAACCACAAACGGAGTCGGCGGGATGCATTCGGACGTGATTGTTAATGGTGACTAGATGTGCAGAGTCCCGAAGATCAACAACCGTCAGGAGCGAGAGTGTGCGATTGGATCTCGAGTAAGCCGATCCCTCCTCTCGTTTGGATTGATCACTGTCCCAAACACGTCTATTCAGGACCGATCTTTCTCTTGTGCTCTCTCTCTCTCTCATCTTATCTGATTTCTAACGAACTTGTATGCTGCCTGCATCGTGAACACTGCTCGTTGACCCACGCCTCTCCCAGTTGAGCAAACAATCGTGTATCGTCACTCAACTTCTTCATCCACGTTCTCTACACAACCCGATTGCCCCACCCGTCCTCGACGTCGTTCAACTTCCGTAACTGCAATCGTTTTCTTCCTCGGTGGTCAATCAGTTGCCTGGAACGAAGTACGTTACAAAAGCTTGAGCTTGTTTCCACCTAATCTCATTTGCCTCTCGGTCTACGTTTTATTTATAACTTGTGTCAAACATCGCAGTTGCGCTGTCTGCTATTCTATATCCCCTGGTTTCCAGGTTTAAACTGATAAAGCGCACGGCTTTCGTTGACTCGTTTTTGTCAGCGATAGCATGCTTCATATGAATGAGCATTCATATTTTTGTGTCCGCTTGCTGATGTAAGAGGCCAGCTTCTACGCCATAACGAGTGCTGTTGGCATGTGGTCGCTGACTAAGATCATAAAAAAACCGAGATTTTCACGGTCATTATTCGATCACGCCATTGCATCGAAGCAAATGTTCCGAGTTAACACCAAGTAGATGTACCAAAATCTGCTGTAATTTGGTAATCGAAAGTGGCCAGATAGAATGATGCATTCTATGGGGCCCGCAAAAGATATCGACTTTCGTTTCATTTCAACCTTGCTGCGTCATTTCTGATCTCCACTTATTGGAGACCTTTCCTAATAACCCACTGTGGGTTTGTTTACCTGTTTGTTTCTATTCTTCGAATGCGTTGAATTTGATTGGCTTACTTGGAGTGTGTCAAAGGGAAACACCCGTTCGTGCAAACAGCTGAGCAGGACAGCTCTGAACCCATTCATCTATTCATTTTCAGGATTCTGCCGATGACAGGCAAATTGCTTTGTCCCGTTTTTCGTGCAACGATTTACGTAGCATCATGAAGCTTTCGTGAAAATACACCAGTTGATAGCAATGGTTGCGTGTTTCCTCTTTTTATTCTAAATCAACAAATTCCCCGTCATTGATTCTCGTTTTCCAGATGACTTCTTCCGGCTATCCAACTCTCCGCCCGACTTGAGGTTTGTTTTCTCTTTGCAATCCTTTTTCGATTATGGTCTCAAGTTTTGGGAGCCGTTTGTGCTCGTGCGATCTGATCGTCCTCCGTCGATTTGCCATCCCGTTCAATCGGTTCTTCTCAGCCCGCTCGCTCAGTCGGATCCTTGCCTGACCAAATAAGCCCTGTCAGGTTTTAACCCGCATGTTCGTTTGCGTGGGATCAACTG